TGGACAATGCTTGTAATACCATGCTTTTATACTTAATATACAAAGTTTGGCTAAGTTTTGCCAACATAAAAATGTGGTTGCAATAAAGGCAACCCAGTAGATTCTTATACAAGAAGTACCATGGAATTGCCACGTTTTTTTTTTTTTATGTACAATGGTAATACATTGGAAAACCATGTAAATGTATTGTTTATGAATATTGTAATTATAAATATCATCTGATACCATAGTCCTTCTGCTGCTACATGGATGAAACGGTTAACTTTAAAACATGTGAACTCACCTCATTGGACGGTATGCTGACAACACCTGTTGACCTCCTCTTCTCTCTTAACTTCCTTTTCTCTATCTGTCCTTTGCCCTTTCTGGCACTGGGTCCCGAGCTCTTCTTCTCTTTGCTCTTGCTGTGTGTGGGACTCTCCTTATCACTGTCATCCACACCAGCGGGGCTCGAGCTCTCCGCCTGCGGCACTCCACTCACTTTCTCCGGCGTCTTCAAGTTTTCCCCGGGCTGCTCGGGTTTCTTTGGCTCGTCCTCCGGTCGTTTCAGAGCGGACGATGAGGAAGACAGGGCCACCGGATAGGAGGACGTAGAAGAGACGCAGTTAACGTTAACCGAGCTGCCGTTGTTGTTTAACTCCGTGGTTCTCCCGGTGGCGGCGGCGATATCTCCAAGCATCTTTGCTCTCATCTTCTCGCGCTTTGCTTTCCATTCCTCCAGAAAGTCTGTCGCGCTGTTAGATTTAAATCCTCCTGTTGCCATGATTTCCTTTTAAGATTGACTCGTGCGACCCGAATCACTTTGTAAACACAGACAGTAAACAGTATTGGTTCAGATCCGCCACATTCCTCAGAAGTGTTTGCTTGGAGATTGTTTTAAAATAATCACAAAGTCTGCTTTTAAAGTTGACCGAAACTATTAAAAGACTAAAAAACTGTCGAGTAAGTGCTGTCTCGAAAGATAGTATCCGGTAAAGCTCACCTGCGCGCCCATGAACATTCGTCAGGAGTCCAGGTGAACTGATCCGGTGGAATGAACTGGATTAGTTACAGGCGCACTCGAGCGCCGAGTCCTGCCCCCTCTTCTGAAGAGTTTCCGAGTAGTTACGAAAATTAACGGAAATAGCCGAAAGGAAGGCGACAGAGAGTTGATGTTACAATTTTCACATTTAGCAATAATTTTCATCTTTTTTTTAATTTACTTAATAATTAAATAAAAAAAATGTACTAGTATTTTCTTAGTTTACCCCGCACTGTTAGTTTAAATTATTTCACCTTAGTTTTAATTTATTTTGCACTAATAATGATACAATATTATTGTATATTATTTGCACTATTATTTTACATTGCACAGTTTGTTGTTGGTTATGCTGGAAATGCTGGAAGAGAGAGAGAGAGAGAGAGAGAGAGAGAGATGGATGGATGGATGGATGGATGGATAGATAGATATTTTTTCTGTGATGAGTCACACTGGTTTGTGATGAATATGAATTGTTCTCCCACACAGGTCCCGAGAGAACATGAGTCACTGTTGTGCAGAGCTGGAGTGTTTGTGACCCGAGGACTCTCAGAGATGACTGAACTCGATGTCTTAGATAACAGAGGTGCACACAGAGTCGTCTCGGAGTACCACAGCCTGTCTGTCATGCCATTAAATGGTTCAGTAAGTGGATACTGCATGTTGGGGTGCATGATATATAACATACCTAGGCTATTTTCTTATTTATTTTTGAGGGATTTTTTGGGGCACAGGTCTTCACAGGTCCTGTCATCTTTCTTTCTTTCTTTATCTATTTTTACAAAGGTAACAGTAAATACTTTTACACTGTTAAAAAGTTCATATAAATAATTATTTAAAATAAATGCCTTTTTGCTGAACTTTCTATTCATCAAAGAATACTGGGGGAAAAAATCATGTTTTCCACAAAAATATTAAGCAGCACTATTCAGTATTGATAATACGAAATGTTTCTCTGAGCACCAAATCAGCATATTAGATTAATTCCTGAAGGATCATGTGACAGGAGCAGACTGAAGTATAATGGTTGCTGAAAATCTTTCTTTTCTAGCCCTTAACCCTACCACTAAACATGTCCCTTACAGAAAACATTCTGCGTTTTGATTTATAAGCTTGTTTTCCTATATGAGGACTGAAACTTTATCTCCACAATGTCAAATATTTCAGCCTTTACCATTCTTGTGGGGATTTGGTCCCCACGGTGTATTGGGGGATACCTTGACCACACACACATACAAAAATAAAACTTGATATTCTGTGCCCTATATGGAAAGTCCCTTAGACATTCTTATGATTCATATTGATTTGATTTGATTCCAAATGTATTCCTCAGGATTTAGGTTCTTCACAGGACATATTTAAGACTAAAGTAAGAAAATAATTTGTTTTTAAAGCCAGTGGCACTTATGTTGAATTACCTCCTTGAATGACTGGAATTTTCTAGTAGTTTTTCAGAAAATGGTTTGTTCAGTCAGCGGGGTTGAGTCACTAAACCATCCAGCTTATACAATCCAAACCTATACATGAAAGCACCGAAGAAAGAGAGGGGGGGTTTGTCCTTGAATTTGCAAAGAATTCTTTTAAAAAAACAACTGGTGAAGGTTTTAGTTCTTTGAATGTTTATATGGCTGAATTACTTCTAAAGCCCACAGAGCCATAGAAAATAGCTTTTCATTTAAATGGATAGTTCATTCAAAAATGATCATTCTGAAATAATACTAAAAAAAGTCAGTGGCTACCAGCAATTGTTTGGTTACCCAACATTCTTCAAAATATCTTCTTTTGTGTTCACCCAAAGAAAAAAACTTAATACAGGTTTGGAACAACATGAGGGTGAGTAAACGATGACAGATTTAAATTTTTGGTGAACTATCACTTTAAGATCTTTCTAGTTGGTTCTTCTCGGTACACATTGACAGAGATAACTGGAAGAAATCTTTAGGGGAAACATTAGGGCGCCTGGTCTATAAATAGTCTGTGATGTACACACTGAGGTCCAGCTAATGCATTTTTAGAATGTTTCAGTGAGCTTTGGGGAAACTTACTCACAGCACAAACACTCATCTGTCACTCGCTGCTTTGGCTCGTTCTCCAGCACAAACTTTACTTCCCTTTTAAGTAAATTCCACTTAGCATACCAAATAATGCATTTTCCAAAGGAGCAGATAAGTGGAGAGTGACTCCCACTTTAAGAATGAAATTCAGTTTGCTTTCTTATCAGTCAAGGTCTTTTCTCAAAAGCTGTCTGATATGTTTGCTTCACCGGAGTGATTCCCTCACTCTCAATATGTGCTATCTAAAAGAGTTCTTTTAGGAGATATTGAAGTCCCACCTTCTGTGACGATAATGGCTTTGAATCGATTCATTCTTTTATGGATCCCACAGTGAATGCAGAAGAATTTTCACACAGATATTTGTAAAATAATCTACACCACAAGAGAACAAGCATGTTTGGAACTGGCTCAATTTTGCTATATTTTGAAACCTTCAACCCACCTCTTCCATTATTTTAGACTACAAGTAATGACTTTGTAATCTAAGCTTTGACACAATCTGTATTGTTAAAAGCGCTATATAAATAAAGGTGACTTGACTTGACTTGACTTTGTGGAACGTCAGAGTGACAGATGTTTTCCGTGTGTCGAGATGGGCTTCACATTTCAATTCAGAACTGAAAATCACACAGGATTAATATGACAATCAGAAATATTGCTTACAGAAATATACTGTTACTTCAGGTGATTTTTTTCATATTCCTTATATTTCTGCCTCTTTGTAAATGAAACCGCAACTGCTATTAATGGAATTTTTGACATTAATTCTAATAAATGAATGTCATTGCATTAGATACAAATGCCCAATAAACAAAGTATATAATAATAATAATAATTATTATAATTATATATATATATATAATACAAATATATAAATAATCAACCCAAACCATTGATTGCTTGAAGTGTTTGTGTGCTCCTTTAAAATAAATGCCACTTGGTTTGTTCTTTTGTTATAAAATCCTAAAAGTGTCCAAATACATTTTGAGTCCACCGTATGTCATTTTTAATGTGAAATAATTAACAAGCATGCGATTAATTGCATCGCTGCATACTGTTGGACATTGTCACTTGATACATTTTGCCTGGTCCTACAGTGTCACATTTTATACTTCGTTAAAAACGAATTTAAACAGCATTTTTTGTGATTCTTTTATAATTACACACTTTATGATCTTAACATATATTTAGAGGGGATATTTGTACATTTAAATAATTTGTCACATTGCAGGACCATTTAAGTGAAAAAAATGTGATGAAAAAGCTCTTAGTTCAACTCCGTTTATTAACTGTTAGCTTTTTATTGTTCATTGTCTTTAATGATCATCGCATCTTCTGGTCATTGGGATTCCCAACACCCTTGTAATCATTGCAGAGCACAGGCCTGGCCATTACTTCCCCTGTCTGTCCTGTGACGGTGGACCATGACCGTGCCATCTGCTGAGATGGGCGAGGGGTGGCAAAATGTCTGTGTGCCGCCCATATTTCAACTGGTTAGATCGGCTCATTTCTATGAGTTCATTAGAGCTGGTGGCACTGGGAGTAACTTTGTGTCCCTAAACATCTCAGATGCTCCTCTATTGTGTATGTGAAACTATTATCAGCATGTGTCCTGGTTGAATGGAGGCACAGGAATGATTTCAAAATGACCACATGCTAAAAAGTACCAGCTGTACTCATTTCTTCACCAAATGTCGAGCATGAATTATTAAGGCACAAAAGCTGTAAAACTAAGCAAGTCTGTTCCAGATACTTTTGATTTGTTTCTTGATGTTCCAGTTATGCTCTTCTGGGGGTGACCACGTGATATTAGTCATGAACTGAAACGATTAAACCGCCAAACGCTTCAGACAACAGTAATCTTGCACAATACATAACTTATCCAATCAGGTTTGAACTGTATAGTGACATGTTTTCTTAGTCATCTTCACATGCTTGTTTTTTGAAGGAAAGCAGTTGATGTCACAATCAGAACTTTGCAGTGCAACTAAGTAGATTAAATTCATGTTCCACATTTAGTACAAGTTAAGCTCAATCAACAGTTTATTACAAACAATAATTTGTTTAGTACATTTGCATGTTTATCACACACACACACAAATCCGACTTGTGCCTCTTTTTTCCTTAAAAAGAAAAAAAAAAGGCAAAAATGATAGTAAAAACACAAAAATGATGGTTACACTGAGGCACTGGAGGATTCTGGAGGACTTACAAATGTGAAATTACATTTTTTAAAAGCTCTTTCATTAATTCCTTATGTTAGAACTTGTGTTATTTTGAAATCGTAATTTTTTTTTGTGGCAACAAAGTTGTAAAATGAGATAACTTTACACAGAAAATTTAAGTTTTTGACACAGAGATAATATTAACATGCATATTGTTTATAACTTGCAGCTGTACTATTGAAACAGTGAGTATTTGAATGTTTACAGACTGGCCCCATTTGCTTCTTTTGTAACCGCCCAACTTTTTGAGTTGAGTCAAAATAATTTTTGTAGTAATAATCAACATGATACACGTGTTGTCAGCTGAGTTTAATCTATGTATTTATCCTGGAATTTTGCCTTAAAGGAATGTTCATTCATGCTGTTGATTGCCACAGAAAATCATTTTGACAGAAATGCTATTAAAATGTTATGCCCGGTTCAGACTACACGATTTTAGGCCGATTTTGCCACGATTTGCTTGACTTGTTAAAGACGGCACGCGATGAATGGTCGGGAAGCAACGTGTAGTCCGACATGTTTCTTATCCACGACACGACAAGATTTTAGGAGTCAAAATCGTGTAATCTGACACAGTGACTATTGTGACCGACAAAAATATCGTGTAGTCTGAATTTAGTCTATGGGGAAAAACATTGCAGTGTTTCATTCAAATACTCAGTTTCGAAAGTAAGGTCACAAGAGAAAGGCAATGGTTTTCAGCACTGATATTAATTCTTCTGTACCAAATTTTGTTATTTTGAGATGTAAAATTGTCTAAATTGTTCTTTTAGGCAGATGAACTCCTGTTTATTATCTGGTTCTGAGTGGATTTTCTCCATAAAGAGTCCTTTTCTGGCATCCTTAGAAAGTTACAAGGTTAAACAACGTTACATTGCCATGATAAGAGTTTAAAATTGGACATATTTTGTACAATGTTAGTAAGTGATTCTCATTAATTAACACACAATGTTTAAGCACAGTGCTTTAAGCACTCTTGCCCCATAGACCTCCATTGTAAGTGCATTACTGTAAACACGATTCTGTTTGTTTTTACAAAATTATTTTCTGTTGTAATTGACAGCGTGCCACGGATCCAGCAGAACAAGAGATGAGCCGGGACTCTGGAGGCCAGTCTCTGGGTCTGCGCCAGATATTCAGCTGCAGCCCAATGGCCTGGAATTGGAGGTTCCTGATGTCTGTCAGGCCACCGCAGATAATTGAGTGTTAGCCAGCTAGATGAGTAGAAATGAAAAGAGGCGACGTGAGTGAGGTCAACTGGGGAGTAAGTCCTCAGAAATCCTCAAGATCTCGAATTTTGGTCTCATTACAGGGAAATATACCAGTACAACTCAGCTGGGGAATGTTGATTTAAGAGACTGTCCACATTCCATGATATAAAATCACCTGAAAGCACTGAATGCGTTTCACTAATCTCATAGAAACGTATAATTATCAGGTAAATTCCACAAATATTTTATACTTAAGATAATAACTAGTAATTATGTATATGTGATTTGGCACACT